GCCAGGATCTCCCCGACCACCACCCCCAAGAAGCACCCTCGCACACACACACATACACACACACACACGCTCACCCACGCACACCCACGCGTGCCCATGCAGACCCGCGGGCACCCACGCATACCCACGCACACCTAGTTCACACCCGCACCCACAGCCACACCCACACACACACACACACGCACACACACACACACGCACACACGCACACACGCACACGAACACGCACACCCGCGCACATCCGCACTCCCGCACATCCGCACACGCGCACACCCGTTTGCACACCCGCACACACACGAGCACACACGCACACGCACAAGCGCACACACGCACACACGCACACACGCACACACGCACGCGCACAAACGCACACGCACTTGCACACGCACGTGCGCGCATGCGCATGCGCACACGCGCACACGCACACACGCAAACGCGCACACGCAAACACGCACAGACGCACACGCACACGCGCACGCGCACACGTACCCACGCACACGCGCACACGCGCACACGCGCTCCCGCAACCGCACTCACACACACACACACGCACGCACAGCACACAACACACACACACACACACGCACACACACACACACACGCACGCACACGCGCACACCCACAGACACCCACACCCACGCATACGCACACGCACACGTATACACATACGCACGCGCACGCGCATGCACACGCAAACGCACACGCACGCACGCAACCACAGACCACCCACACCACACACCACACAACACACAACATACATTCCACCAACACACCAACACACCAGCGCACTAATACACCAACAAACCTTAGACACCACATACATCACATCGCACACGCACACACACACACCACAAACAGCCCACACCACACATCACACAACACACGCCACCCAACACACGACACAGCACACGACACACCACACACACACCGCACATAACGCACGACACAACACACACCACACCAAACGCAACACACACACACACACCACACGACACACACGCACCACACACCACACACCACACAACACACACCACACACCACACAACACACAACACCTCACACACCATACGCACACACCACACGCACACGCACACGCACACACAGACCCAGACACACGCACGCTTACGCTCGCGCTGCACACGCACACGTACAATCACACGCATAAGCACACGCACACGCATCCACATGCGCACACGCAAGCACAAACACACACTCACACACCCACCCACCCACCCACCCACCCCCACACACACGCACACGCACACGCACGCACGTGCACGCACGTGCACGCACACACACACACGCACGCACAAACACACACACACACACGCACACAAACACACACACACACATGCGAACGCACACACGCACACACACACACGCGCGCGCACGCACCCACACGCACATGCACACATGCACACATGCGCACGCACACGCGCACGCACACGCAAGCACACGAACACGCACTCACCCGCACACGCACACATCAGCCACACCACACACATACGCGCACACACACACACCCCACGCAAAGTACATACAACACACATAGCAGGCGCAAACACCAACACACCACACACCACACACCACGCACCACACACCCACGCACCCGCACACTCACGCACCCACACGCCCACACACGAACACATGAAGATACCCTCACACCAACACACCTCACACTACACACGACACACAATTCACAGCATACACCACTCAGTACACAACACACAACACACATCACACACCACGCAAGACACAACCAATCAACACACAATCACACCACCAACCACACACTACACACCACACATCACACCATCCACCAACACTCCACACACTACACCCAACACCCAAAACAAACACCCCAGACCCAATACCCAATACCCAATACCCAAGACCCAACACACACAAACAAACAAACAACACACAACACACACCACGCACCACGCACCACGCACCACACACCACACAACATACACCACACACCACACACAGCACACAACGAACAACACAGAACACACCACACCACAACACTGCACACCACACGACACACACAACACACCACACACCACACAAAACATACAGAACTCACAACACGTTCACACCACACACCACGCAACACACGCCCCAAAACAAACAAATACAACACTCAACACCCAACAGCAAACACCCAAGACCCACGACCCAGCACACAACACCGAACACACGCACACAAACGACACAAACAACACACACCACACACCACACACCACACATCACACAACACACATAGCATACCACACACCACACACAACACAGCACACAGCGCACACTACACAAAACAACCCATCCAACACCCAACACCCAACACCCAGCACCCAACACCGAACACCCAGCACCCAACTCCCAGCACCCAACATCCAACACCGAACACCCACTACCCAAAACCCAACACATAACACACACAGCACACAGCACACACACACGCACACTCACACACGCACGCACACACCCACACACACACGCATGTTCTCTCCCGCGGCGAGGTGACGACACCGTCGCGGAACGGTAGGCCAGGGCACGTTGAGCCGGGCGAGTGTCCACCTGGCACAGCCAAAGCCTATGCCGCCCTCCTCGCAACTCTTCGCCGCCCCCTCGCCGCCGGCCTGCCGCTCCAGCGAACGCATCTGCTTGTCGAAGCGCGCCCCGACGGCCGCGACAAGCACCTTTACCTTCCGGACCTGTGGGGGGGGGTGTTGGATCGGGAGGGGAGGGGGCTGACGGCCGGGGGACGGGAGGGAAACGGGAACGGCGGGTAGGGGGAGGGGGAGGAGGAAGAACGCGAGGGAGGACGGGGGCGGGGGAAGGTGGTCCAGAAAAGAAGGCGGTCCCGAAGAGAAGGGGGTCGGTGTTGACGGGGGACGACCAACGCCTTCGACAATGGGTCCTGAAAGCGGGTCATGTCGTGAACCCCAGGGCGTCACACGAGGCCAGCAGTTCACTCCGAGGTGCCTCTGGACGATCCCAACCAAGCCTGGGAGGGGCCCGGAGGGGCTGGACACCTCAGGGCCCCGCTCCCTCGGGGCCCCTATTTGTCATGACGAACACCTCGACAAAAAGGGGTGTGAGAGAGGGAGCAGGGCGGCGGCGGCGATCCAGCGGGGCCAACGGAGCAAGGCGCACCTTGCGAGGCGTCGCCCCGCCAACGGAACACCAGCCAGACAATTCGGGTTTGCACGTTCCCGCCTTGCTGAGCCTCGGCGCTGGCACCATCTTTCTCCCCAACCTCGTCAAGGCCACCGACCAGGGGAGAGGGCGGCGGCTGCAGAGAGGAAGGGGCCAGAAGAGGAGAGGCGGCGTGTCCATGAGGTCAAAGGCAACCAAACAAAACTCGGACAACCCCCCCCCGTGATGACTGCCATCGAACCGGCAACTTAAAAGCAGCTATGCGGTGCTGGAAAAGTCGAACTGGCCAGAGCCATGATGGTTGAACTTCAAGTTTGCGTGGCCAACCTCCTCGAACTAAATCACCGCAGCTGGCAAAACGAGCCGCGTGCTCGATCGACTTGTCCTTGCCCCGAGCGTGCCAGCCGAGACTGAGTTGACCAGTGCAGAAACTGTCAATTGTTGAAATGGGCAAACAACAACGGAAGGGGCAAGGGGGGGAGGAAGGAAGTAAACTTGTGTCAAACACAATACCGTCGTCGTCGTCGTCGTCAACGTAGTCTGTCAAGAGGGCCCCGAAAGACCCGCGCCGACTCGAAAACGGATGCGGTTCGCGGCTGGGCCGCATGCTGCTACGCATCTCTGACCAGAGCAACTCGACTGGCGTCTGTTGTTGGATGGGCTGGTGGGGGTGTGCGAAGCGTCAACAATTGCACTCAAAATCTATATTAAGGACGCGTGGTAAGGACGCACGACCTTGGACACCGAAGTTGGGGCATTTTGGGCTGCAGGCGGCCGTAACCCCAGGGGCGCAGAAGGCAGAGGCAGGCAGGGATCCAAGGGCACCCTCGAGAAGGCGCGCGTCTGTACTGTGGATCTTGACTGTGAGATGGGCAGGCGAAAACCGAATGTGAAACCGCCGCTGCCACCAGCCGAAGCCTGTCGGCGTCCACGCACTGGTCGCACGACGGGATGAGGCAACGCACCACTGCCAGACAAGGGCACGCGTGTCGCCGCAAGCTTGCTCCGCACGGGGGTGAGGGCCGGGAAAGGAGGGCTTGAATGCCCTGGATGAAAAGAAGTACTAACGACAAAGCAGATTTAGTGGAGGGCAAAAGATCCACCCCCATAGTAACCACCCCGACAAGCGAGGCCGTTTAGTAAACGCACCCACAGAAGGAATCGAACAGGGCAGGGCTGTCTAGAAAACGCCCAGGGCCGGTTAGCAAACACCAGTGATCGGGTCCGGGTGGTTTTTCCTCCCTTGATTGAGGACGGCGAAAAGTAGGGGGGAGCTGGGGGGGGCAATCTCTCCTCTGAAACCACACCTGCGATTTGGGCCCAAGCCTGTTGGGCCATTGCCCTGGCTGTCCTTTGCGGGCGGGGCCCGCGCCCTCGCCGTTGGGACTTCGCCCCCCGGGCCCGTGCCTGGGTGGCGACGAGCCTCTGCTCGCGTTCGGGGCCCGTGCCCTCGCCGCCGAGCTGGCCCCGCAAGCCCGTGCCTGGGTCGCCTCCGTTTTCTGGCTCGCGGTCGGGGTCCGTGCCATCGCCGCCGAGCCTCGCGGTCGGGGCCTGTGCCCTCGCCGCCGCGCGTGCTCCACAAGCCCGAGCCCGGGTGGTCGCTGGTTTCGCGGTCGGGGACTGTGCCCTCGCCGCCGCGCGCTGCGGACTGCGGACGGGGCCCGTGCCCTCGCCGCCGCGGCCGCCCCGCAGGCCCGCGCCTGGGTGGCCCTTGGGCAGGCGGATGGGGCCCGTGCCTTCGCCGCCGCGCTAGCCCCGCAGGCCCATGCCTGGGTGGCCGCTGGGTTCGCGGTCGGGGCTCGTGCCCTCGCCGCCGAAACTGCGCCCCCAGGCCCGTGCCTGGGCGGGCGTGCCGGTGGGCAGCTCTGGGCCCGTGTCCAAGAGCTTTTTTTGTTTGGTAAGGATTTGGGCAAGTTCACTTGCATGGCGTTCGCCACCCCTCCCTCCTCGCCCCTATCCTAACGAATACTAGCGTGCACGTGCCTTTCGACTTGCGTGATTTTCCGCACGTGCAAGTCGCTTGCGGCTTGCTTGAAGTGCAGCCCCCCCCCGTCCATGCACGCGAACTTGCTGGGGTAAAATAAAGAAAAAGAAAGGCTCCGAGGATGTGCTCGCGGACGGGACCTTTGCCCTCGGCGCCGAGCCTGTGCCCCCCCGCTTCCTGGAGCCGGGGCCCGTGCCCTGGAGGATGGGCCCGTGCCCTGGCCTCCCGAGGGCCCGTGCCCACTGGCGGGCTCAGCGAAGCTCCTGGCCCGCCTCGTCTGCACACGTGGCCCGTGCCTTGCACCCTCAAGCGCACGCACGCACGCTCCACGGGCACTCATGGCGCACGCGCGCGAGCACATGCACGCACTGCGGTTACCGTTTGCGCTTTCACCATGCGTGCAACATGCTGCGCGAGTGGCACGCGGAGGGACATGTGGGGGGAGGTAGGAAGCAAGCTCACGACAAGCACAGGAACAAAAAAAGGGCCGAATGGAGGCCGTCGGATCCGCCACCCTGCCCTCGGCACGGTGTGCCAGTTAGAATGCCAGAGTGCCTGCCCGCTGTCTGCTGACATTGCTGTAATCTTTCAGCCTACCCCCCGCCCGTGTGGTGCTCAGCCGCAGGACCTCTCTCTTTCCTTTTCTTTTCTGGCGTTCTTCTCGGTCACAAGTCGGCTCCAAGACCGCCCCGGTGTGGCTGCAATACAAGAAATCCCAAGACCCCCGAGAAATCCCCCCGCGAGGCTGCAAATAGTCCCCAACACGCATCGCAACAACCATGAACCGTTACGGGCACGCAACAATCGTGACATCGTAGCGCTGGTTCCCAGACGGACACACAAAGCTTCTATCGGTCATGCTCGGGAGATCTCGCAAAAACCCTCGCACCAAAGACGACCCTGGAGAGCCCTCGGTGCAAACGGGATCCTGCATACAAATGGTGATACCGACCAATATCTGAAGAACTCGGCAAATAATACCATGTTGCATGATGTGCTGGCAGTGACGCGGGGTTTGCCGCAGGCAACCGGGCAACGGCATCCGAGAACGAGTCAGGGAAAGGATATGTAACCAGAAAGGCAGTGAGAGCGAGAGAGAGTGGAGAGAGAGAGAGAGTGGAGAGAGAAAGAGAGAGAGAGAGAGAGAGACTGAAAGACTAAGAAAGAGAAAGAGAGAGGAATAGAGCGAGAGAGAGAGAGAAGTGAAGGGTGGCGAGAGAGAGAGAGAGAGAGAGAGAGTGATAGAGAGAAAGATAGAGAGAACAGGAAGGCGAGACAGAGCAGGACAATGTAGCGTGAGGCGGGGAGAACAAAGACCTCCTCTTCAAATGCGCCTGGCTCCCGCACGGCTTGTCGCGGGGCCACCTCGACCAGACTGAGGCATGGCAACATCACGATACACGTGACCCCTCCTTAGACAACTCCCTCCCCCTGGAACCATTCGACCCGTCCCCCTTCTGAGCAGACGTCAACCCAGTCAATTAAAGGCGTACACCCCTACCAACGGAGGCCAAACTAGACAGTCCCAAGTCCAGCACTCAGCTAGCACTCCCTTTGCAACATGCGCACACATCGAATAGTTGGCCAGGCAGCAACGAGAAGCCTAAAACATCCGCCTCGAAATGGAAAGGCCAGACACGCATAGCTGAGCTAAACCGAGCAGCATCTGAGCACACAGGCCAGCACCAACATGAACGACCAGCGCAGTAACCCACTCCTGCTACAAACTCGAAGTCAAGCAGCCAGGCCCACGAGCGAATTGACGAGCCGAAGTCTTGGCACATGAGGCAGATCACGAGAATCAGCTGATGTTCCCAGAATCGGTTCGTTCCGAGACCTGATACGATTCACCTGGCATGTTCCGAACTACCGACTCACGGAACGAATAGGGACCGCCCGATACAGTGGTGCGCCTTTTTTTACTCGGAGTTTCGACATTGTGCGGAATGGAGGGGAGGGGTGTGTGTGTGTGGCTCTGGGCCTCTGCTCAGCGCGACTGTTTGGGATCGTGCGTCCTATGGGGGAGACCCCGCCTGCTCGAAACAGGCGCCCAAAAGCAGCCAAGATCTACTCCATGGGGGGGGGAGGGGGGGTGCGAAGGCCCGCGCCGATCGGCACAATAATGAGTACAATAACGATCACATGCAATTCACCTGGCATGTTCCGAACTACCGACTCACGGAACGCATAGGGACCGCCCGATACAGTGTCCACATGCACTTCGCCGTCTGGTGCAGAGTCCTGTGGGCAAGCTTTGTGCGGGACGGCCGGTCTGGAGTGGGCGAGTGATCGCTTCACTGCAACCCTTCCCCCCATTTCCTGAGTGTGGCTTCTGCCTCCTCAAGGCAACATACATTGATCCTCCCCCCCCTCCAAGCAGCAAGGGCCCAACGCAACTCATTCGTTTACTCAGATTTGGGCTCACCAGCTGCGCCTAATGGCAACAGAAAATTCGCGGTCCAATGATGCAATCCATACCTCACTTTTTCGCGTCAAGGGAGGCCGCTCGGAGCCGCTTGTGCACGCAACGTCATAGCGTTCTAGGATTTGGGCTCGTTGGCAGCGCCAGGTGGCGATCATATGCCAGGTTGGGCCTTTCGCACTCGGTACGTGCAAAGAATAACCTCCCTTTCCGAATCCAGATAGGAGTCGAAATTGGGGAACTCTAGCTTCAAAACACGTGCAATTGCACAAAACGAAGCACGTCCCCTCACACGCATAGAATTCAAGGTTTTGGCACCGAAACTCGCACATAGACATTGCACAAGGACAGCATCCCTCAGGAAGTCTGAAATGACGCACTGATCAGTAAAGACGTACTTTGTAGCCCTCGACTCGAACACGCGGGTGTTCATAATGGTGCGAACGATCGTTTGACCCAGCAACGACCGTAGCAACGTCACATCAAGGGCATGGCCACACTGCAATATCTATACACACGCATATATATATATATATATATATATAGATATGTATGACGTCTACGACTGATGACACCATTGTATGTTTCACATCGCACTCCCTAGTGTCTGCACTTAGTGAAACCAACAAGTACCCATGCCATTACTACAACCAGCTGGATAAAACACTGGAGACCGTGGGGATCGAGGAAAACACGGTTGGCCTCCCATTGGGGCCGAGTCGGGAGTTTCGGATGCAGCTCTCACCCCTTTCAATACTATAGCGGCCAAGTGGGGTCAGCGTCTCAAAATGTGATTCCCCCTGAGACTTCCGCCAACAAGAATTCGGATCGCCTTCGAGGGCGATCTGAAAATTTGCCGCGGCATCTGAAAGTGGCGATTTGACGTGGGACTTCCGCATGCAAAAATCATATCCATCTTCATACCGCTCGAGAGCGGCGATATCGCCTGAGAGTTCCTCGCAGGGTATTTTCCGACCGCTTTTCACACCGCCAGAGAGTGGCGATGTCGTTTGGGCTGTCCTAACACCCGCGCGTCTCGTCCACCCCTGCGTCGCCGTTCCTCCGTTCGGGTCGCGACTCTGCCTGGGAGTTACTTGGGATCGATCGAAGGTCGAAGTTGGAGTTTTGTTCGATTGGCGAAGACCCAGGGGTTGTTCCCTGCCGTAGTGCCGATCACCACTTTTTATCTCAGGGGTTGGTTACAAAACAACGCTCGGTGTGGGCAGTCTCCAGCGTTCCGATGCGGGCGCTGGTGTGGAGCGTGGACAAAACATGCAACAGAGAAGTGATTCAGCGCGCTGGCGGCGGTCATTACAAAACAACGCTCGGTGTGGGCAGTCTCCAGCGTTCCGATGCGTGCGCGAAGTGTGGAGCGTGGACAAAACATGTAAAAAAGACGTGACTCAGCGAGCTGGCGGTGGTCAACCCGCTGGATTAAAACGTGGAGACCGTGGGGATCGAGGAAGACAGGGCTGGCCTCCACGGGGCCGCGGGGCAATGTTGGACCCGGGGCCGAGTCGGGAGTTTCAGATGCATATCTCACCCCTCCTAATACTATAACGGCCAAGCGGGGTCAGCGTCTCAAAATGTGATTCCGCCCGAGACTTCCGCCGACAAAAATTCAGATCGCCTTCGAGGGCGATCGGAAAACTTGCCGCGGCATCCGAAAGTGGCGATTTGGCGTGGGACTTCCGTAGAAAAAAAAACAGATCCATCTTCATACCGCTCGAGAGCGGCGATATCGCCTGAGAACTCGTCGCAGGGTATTTTCCGACCGCTTTTCACACCGCCAGAGAGTGGCGATTTCGTTTGGGCTGTCCTAACGACCGCGCGTCTCGTCCACCCCTGCGTCGCCGTTCCTCCGTTCGGGTCACGACTCTGTCTGGTAGTTACTTCGGATCGATCGAAGGTCGAAGCTGGAGTTTTTGTCGATTGGCGCAGACCCAGGGGTTGTTCCCTGCCGTAGTGCCGATCACCACTTTTTAATACAGGGGTTGATACCTGGACCTCTCCGGGGATGCGTTCTGAGGAGAATTTCGAGGCGAATCCAGCAGTGGCGACGAGGACCTCCCAGGAGGCGCAGGCGAAAACAAGGGAAGAGTAAACAGATCGGTACCTTCTCCTCCTCAGAGCAACGTCACCATGGTCGAAGAGGTGGGCGATGTGGCGCACAAGCTGGCGGGCGTAGCGCCTAAACTTATCCTGGTTAACGGACCAACCACATACAGTTATGAGTACCGTCGTTGTGAATATCGCCTTTAATGAATCTTTTCCTGGGGCTTTGGGTGGAGCTGCCTGTGGGGCCACGAAAAGTGGGAAACTTGTTAGCGACTGGACGGTGGGGACACATGCGATTGGGCGGAATTCCCTGTGGGGCCATGAACCGTTTGAGGAGTGTGCCGAAATGGGCGGGGGACCGCATGCATACGTCGACACTGGAGCCTTCGGTGGAACTCTCCACGGGGGCACTAAGCGATTAACGGGTCTGCTGTATTGTGTCGGGGACGCATGCGGAGTGTGCCGATTAAGCCTTTGGTGAAGCTCCTTGTAGGGCCACGAAACGTGCGAGGGGTCTGCCGAAATGGATGGCGGGGACGCGTGCGGACGGCAACACGTCGGGCCTAGCTTGTGAAGGGTGTGCCGAAATGGGTGGCGGGGACGCATGCGGGCGGCACCATTTGGGCCGAGGGTGGAGCTCCTTATGGGGTCACGAATCGTGCGAGGGGTGTGCCGAAATGTGTGGCGGGGACGCATGCGGGCGGCACCATTTGGGTCCTTGGGTGGAGCTCCCTATGGGGCAACGAAGCGTGTGAGGGGTGTGCCGAAATGGGTGCGGGGACGCATGCGGGCGGCTCCACGTGGAGCTGAGGTGTGCCAAAACCGGTGGGACAAATGCAGACGGCACCACGTGGAGCCTTGGACGGAGCTCCCTATGGGGCCACGAAGCGTGTGAGGGGTGTGCCGAAATGGGTGGCGGGGACGCATGCAGACGGCACCACGTGGAGCCTTGGATGGAGCTCCCGATGGGGCCACGAGGCATGCGAAGGGTGTGCCGAAATGTGTGGCGGGGACGCATGCGGGCGGCACCATTTGGGCCGTGGGTGGAGCTCCGTATGGGGCCACGAGGCGTGTGAGGGGTGTGCCGAAATGAGCGGCGGGGATGGAGCTTCCTTTGGGGCTACGAATTGTGTGAGGGGTGTGTGTCGAAGCATGGTGACTGGTGCGGAGGGCAGAGGCAGGGGTGGGAGGAGGGAGGATCGGGAGGGGGGGAAGAATGAGAGGAGGGGGACGCGGGGCGCTGCGCCAATCAAAACGAGGACCCAACACCTCAGGATGGTTGGGAAAAACTGTGGCCGCCTCCTGCACAATCTCGGTTGCGGCGAGCCGCCTCTTCACCTGCGGCGCGCAAGGTCGGAGGTTTAATGCCGCAGATCTGTGGCTGGGCGTGGGGCGAGCCATGAGATGGAACGCGCGAGCGAAACGAGGGCAGAACCATGATGATGATGCTGATGAAGCTGATGCTGCTGATGATGATGATTATGATGATGATGAGGAGGAGGAGGAGGACGATGATGATGCTGATCATGATGAGGAGGAGGAGGAGGAGGAGCCGACTGAACAACTGCGACGAGGGCCCCAGTCTCGCCCTCACGATGATGAGGCGCCAGTGAGTGCGCTGTGCGCTATCAGGAGATCAACAGATACCCGTCTTGCTTGTGGCACTGCGAGGCGCGGTGGGATGTTCCCATGCCATCCAAACGTTTGACGGCAAGTGAGGTTGTTTGCTCCTTGAGGCCTCATCTCCCCTTCCGTTGCTAGCTTGTTGCGGCACCATGACCGCTTTGACCATCTGCAATTGGGGGTACCGCATGGGGCCACGAAACGTGTGAAGGGTGTGCCGAAATAGGGCAAGAGCGCCTTGCGAACCCTGCCACTGCGCCTCCAGTGGAGCTCCCTTAGGTGCCACGAAGCGTGTAAGAGGTGTGCCGAAATGGAGGCGGGGCCGCCATGCGAACTTTGCCACTGGGGCCTTCGGTGGAGCTCCCTGTGGGGCCACGAACCGTGCGAGGGTGTGCGCCGAAATGGAGGCGGGGCCGCCATGCGAACTTTGCCACTGGGGCCTTCGGTGGAGCTCCCTATTGGGCCACGGAGCGTGTGAGGGTGTGCCGAAATGGAGGCGGGGCCGCCATGCGAATTTTGCCACTGGAGCCTTCGGTGGAGCTCCCTATGGGGCCACGGAACGCGTGAGGGGTGCGCCGAATTTTTCTCTTCTTCAAGTCTCGGGCGCTTCTTGGGCCGTCTTGGGACCAACGTGGGCCATCTTGAAACGCTCTTGGCCTGAGGCCGTGGGGCGTGCCACCCTTTGTGGCGCCGCATGGGGAGCGCCCGGCGGGGCCCCGAGGCCGCGCCCAGGAATTCCGGATCCGAACCTGCCGGGACCTTGCCGGGACCTTGCCCCTCAAGGGGGGCCATATGCCAATTACGCTGCTGCTATGGCGTGACCTGCTCTACTGGGCTTTTGGGAGACGGCCCCCCTCCTCTCCTTCCTCCTGCTCATCTTCCTGCTCACCCGCCACCTCCCATTTACGCAGCTCCCTCCGACTGCGTGCAACACGATGGGGTCTTCTTGCTGGAAATCCAGGTCGGCCATGCTACGCGTCCGCGGACAGAGAAACGACGCGGCGCAGTGGGAAGGGACGGGAGGGAGGGACGGGGCGTCAGATGTGGCGCGAGCGCACCTGGCTTGACCCCCCCTGCTCTCCCCCTCCCTCCCGTTTTCCCAAGAGGCCCCCAAGAGGCCCCAAGGCAAGGGGCCCCCAAGAGGCGCCCCAAGAGGCCCCCCAAGAGGCCCCAACACAGCCCCCAAGAGGCCCAAAAACTGTTTCCCGGAGGCCCCCGAGAGGCCAACCGCGAGAGCCCCACCAACATCCAGGAGGTTCTCCCCTCCCCTCCGCTCCCCTCCCTGCCCAAAAGGCCACAAAACTGCTTCCCGGAGGCCCCCGAACGGCCAACCACGAGCGCCCAACCAACATCCGTGAGGCTCTCCCCTCCCCTCCGCTCCCCTCCCCTGTGCCCCTGGGCGGCGGGGGGCCCTACGGCTGCCCACGGGCCAGACCTCCTCCTCCTCCTCCTCCTCCTCCTCCTCCACCTCTGCCTTCCCTCTGCCTCCTCCTCCTCTGTGCCCTCCTCCTCCTCCTCCTCCTCCTCCTCCTCCTCCTCCTCCTCCTCCTCCTCCTCCTCCTCCCCCTCCTCCTCCTCCTCCTCCTCCTCCTCCTCTCCTCCTCCTCCTCCTCCTCCTCCTCCTCCTCCTCCTCCGCCTCCTCGTCCCCCTCCTCGTCCTCCTCGTCTTCCTCCTCCTCCTCCTTCTCCTCCTCCTCGTCCTTCCTCCATATTCGTCCCAATTCGTCCTCCCTCCTCCTCCTTCTGCTCCTCTTCTCATTCACCTCCTCCTCCTCCTCCTCCTCCTCCTTCTGTACGCTCTCGGGCTACGGCTGGGGACAACACGTGATCGACGCATGGCACATCAGACTCGGTCACAGCAGCAGGGCGTCAAATGTTGATCCTCCCTCTCCCTACAGCAGGTTCGCGTCGCGTGACGGCCTTGCCTTCTGTGTCTGACTCCGCGTGGCTCGTTCATCCCTGCGCGAGCACGGCTGCCCGACGACCGGTAGATTGAAGGGGCCCCAGGACACACAAATAAATACACACAAATAAAAGGATCCCCCATATTTTCTATATTTTCTGGGTTTCTGTCTTCCCCCCCACTTCCCATACTTTCCCATATTTTCTGGGGAGTCGACGATGAATTGTGTCTGTGTTTTTTTTTCCCTCCTGATAGATGTCGGCCGACCGCTGGCGGCGCTGAGCCTCGAGCGCCCGCGCTGGGGCCGCCGCCGCATCGTGTCACGACGCGAACCTGCCGCGTCCTCCCTCGCCCTCGGCCAGCTTCATCTCCTCATCCCCTCGGGCATGACACCTCCTCGGTGCTGGGGGCGGTACGGTAGAGGGAAACAATCAGTGAACACCCCCCCTGCCCCCCAGACTCAAGTTAGGCACGCGGGGGGGAGACTGCGGTCGAGGTGCAACTCATCAGACCCACCGCCAACTTTGAACACTGGGGGGAGGGGGAGGCGTTCACAGATGAATGTGGCATGAGTGGTCGCTATTTTTTCCCGAGGCCTGCACCTCCCCAGATCCACCGACCTCCCTGGAACCACGGATGGGGACGGTGCCCCCCGAGACACGAGGCCGAGGCCGCCAGATTTGGGGGCGGAGCGCGCCGACTCTGTGCAGAAACAACGCCCGTCGCTAATGAACGCACGTGCCTCAACTCCCTCCTCCTCCTCCTCCTTCCTCTCCCTCCTTCACCCTCCTCCTCCTTCTTCTCCTCCTTCTCCTCCTCCTCCTCCTCCTTCTTCACCCTCCTCCTCCTTCTTCACCCTCCTCCTCCTCCCCGCACCGGGCCTCCCCCTTCTTCCTCCCCCCTCCTCCTCCTCCTTCTTCTCCTCCCCCCCGCACCGGGCCTCCCCCAGTGAAGGAAGAGGCAACCTTCGGAGCTCCGCGCGGACTTCCTGGATCGGCGCTGGACACCTCCTCTCTGGCGCGCGGAGGCGCCACCAGAGGGGCCCCAGCGCCGATCTACGAAATCCGTGCGGACTTCCGAGCATGTACGTTTACGTATTTGTTTGTTCTTCGACCATCCTCGGGCTCGTCCCTGGGGGGGGCGTCCGTTCAAGAGGGGACAGCACGAAGCGTGGCGCGAAGCACCTGCGCGGCCCCTGCCATGATATCGACCCCCTCGTCTTCACCCCCCTCATGGCCGGCCCCGATCCTGAGATCCGACGTCTAGACCAAAAATGATACACCATCAGAAAACACAACTGGAGCCCTGATCGAGCTGCAACGATCTTTGAGCAAGGACCGACCGTCCCGGCATTCCTATAGGCCTACCGCGAAATGTTCTTAGAAACCAAAGATATTCGAATAACAAAACAAGGTTCTTAAACATAAACCCGATGTGCTAAAACAAGTCAGTCCCAGCCAGAAATGTTCTCAGAAGATTTCGTCGACACCACAAGAGGTTCTTAGAACATTGTCTGGTAGGCCGATAGGCACGCCAAGACGCTTCGTCACTGCTTGAAATCTGCGAGGGCCCTGGGTTTGCACGCCCGAAATGGGTACGGAAAAATCATGGGTACAATGCCGAACAACAAGTGTTGTCCCAAATCAACAAGAAGGCCGCTGTTGGGCAGACGGCCCTCTGTCTCAAGTGGACACAGGCCGCGGCGGCGCGGACAGCGAGTCCTGCTCAGAATGATCAGGGGCTGCTGTTGGGCACTGTGCCCACTCTTTCCGTACCCACTTCGGTCGCCCCGACGGGGGCCCGCAATCCGGCGAAGCCGCCCGGCCAGGAACAAAACATTCAAACGCCAGAATCTCGGGGACGCCCTGCGCCCGTGCCCCCCGCCCCCCGGGCCTCCCCCCCCCCCCCCGAGGCCTGGCCCACGACCGCGGCACGCCCGCAGCAAGCGCGAACAAAAACGGGTACGCTGCCCAAGCGGCCGCCGTTGGGCCGTCGGCCTTGCGTCTCGAGTGGGCAACGTCCGCGGCGACGCCGACCGAGAATCAAGCTCAGCATGGACATTCTTTCCTGGGGCAGATCACCTCGCGCTCACTCGCCGCCCCCCCCCCCCCCCCGCACGCCCCACGCTCTCGCTCTGACATCGCCCAGACCGCGAAGCGCGACTAACTAACCTCGAATGACTTCGCACCCTCCCATATGACCCTAATCTCTTTCCGTGCCCATTCCGATCCTTTCCGTGCCCCTTCCGATCCTTTCCGCACCCACTCCGCACCCAGCCTTCCCGCACCCGTCCCGATCCTCTCCGTGCCCCTCCCCGCCCTTCACGTGCCCATTCCGTACCCACCCCTCCCGCACCCACCCCGAGCCTCTCCGCGCCCCTGCGGGGCACGCTCCGCCCCCGTGCCGTGCCCGCTCTTCCCGTGCCCCCGCTCCGCTCGGCTCCGCTCCAGCGGGACGGGCGATCTTCCTCCGCACCCGCTCCGAGCCTCTCGCGCCCGCTCCTCCCCCGTTAGCCCCGGGGGCCGCGGCTGGAGGCGGCGGCGAACGCGCAGTGCCTCGCAGAGCTCGGTGCGCAGGTCCCCCAGGGCCGCCTCGCGGAGCGTGCCCGCGCCGGGGGGCAGCTTGGAGGTCCAGAAGTGGGCACCAACACCCACGCGGGGGGCTGCCTCCACCTGGGGAGGGCGATCCCAGATTTTGGTGTTGGTGGTAAGCTTTCGGCCACCTGCGAAGCCCGAGTATGACCACCAGCCCCGAGATCGGGATCGCCGTCCTTCGGTTGAATCACGCCGCCGATACTGGTGTTGGTGTCAGCCTCCAGGCCTGCGAGCAGCGGGAAACGAGGAGGGCAAAGCGGGGAACTGCAAACGAGCGTGGCTAAAGCAGGGGCTCGACCACAAGAAACATTCCACAAAAAAATCCAACCCCGAAAATCCAGGACGTCCATGGCTTTTGGGTGTGGGAAGGTCAGACTCTCCACAACAAAACTGTCGAAACCTACAAAATCTGGGGCACCCTGGAAGCAAGCAGGGTGTTTCTTGGCATGGGTTCCCACTGTACGAGGAGCACGATCCAGATCAGGGGTGTGCCGACATGGGCATGGCGGCGCCACGCACGCGAACCCACCTGTGCCGTGGGCGAACCTTCCTGTGGGGGGGCACGATCCGCGTGGTGGGTGCGCCGCAGCAGGGGGGGCAAGACGGCGCTGGGGGCAACGGGGAACAGCGGAGGGTGAGCAAAGGGATATGTGAAGCGAGCGAGGGCGACTGATGGAGGGAAGCGCCGTCTGGGTTCTTCTGTAGGATCATGATCCCTGTGACAAACCGTGCGGCGACACCGACGTCCCCGAAGACGTCACCGCGCGGTCCGTCAACGCACGGCTTTGGGACCTCGGATGCCCCGGTCGCCCGAAACGCCCTCGGAGAGCGACCCGAGTCCCAAAACCGCGCGGTGACCCCGAATCTCCACCGACCCACCTCGCGGCGTGGTCACCGCGCCCGTTCGGGGGCGCTGGCGCCCGCTGCGCTTCTCGCGAGCGTGCGGCATGCGGCGGGCGGGAGGGGCAGGATGCCCGATGAGGCGGGGCGGGACGCTGCGCGCTGTCAACAACATGCGGGGCGGGGAGAGGAGGAACGCCGAGGCTGAGGGGGAACAAAAGGGGGGGGGGCGGGGGGGGGTCGAACCGGAATCGGCGATCTATCGCCGACGTGTCAGCGGTGCGCACCTCTCGGAATCGGCGGTCCATCGCCGATCGGTCGGCGATATACCCCCAGCAACGAAGCCGCGCGTTCCTAGGCGGGGTGGGCTATCGGGCCCCTGTCGGCGATGAATTGGCAATTGAAGGTCGGCGCGTCCTCCCCCGAGCCTGCCCCCCGCTCGCGTTGATCCTGAGAGGAAGGCCAGGAGGGCAGGGAGGGGCCTTCTCTCATCCCTCTCGTTCCTCCTCCTCCCAGCCCCCCCCTTCCAAATCCTCCCTCTCGGTCGCAGGTGGGGTTCAGGGAACCAGAGGGATGGGGAGATCCGACAGGCGCGGCGCAAAACGTGCCAGGGGCGCAGCTAGGCGACTGCGGCACGGGCCCGACTGGAAGGAAAAGAGCCCGAACACCTCCGCAACAAGGGAACGCCAGCAGGCGCAGCAGCGCCAACGGTCCGTGCCGTGCCCCCGTGGCGTGCTGACTGCTCGAAACAAGGCACGGAAGGAGACCGTACTCCGCGCGTCCTGTTCGGGGTAGGGGGCGCCAGAGTCCATGCTCCGACGCCCAACCTACCCACCACCCATTCCATGGGTGGCCGCTGGCGACGAGAGCAATTTTCTCTCCCCTTGCCCCCCTTACGGGCAAACAGGGGTGACGATCGCGCTGCTACCCGCCTGTTTTTCTGGGAAGGGGTCCAAATGGCACAGGTGCCGCAGGAGGGAGGGCGAGGAGGAGGAGGAGGAGGAGGAGGAGGAGGAGGAGGAGGAGGAGGAGGAGGAGGAAAAAGAGGAAGAGGAGGAGGAAACAGAGGAAGAGGAGGAGAAGGAGGAGGAGGAGGAGGAGGAGGAGGAAGGAGGCAAGGGAGGGCGAGAAAAGGTGAACCGGACGAGGGGGCGACTGCGGCCTGCGCGGGAACGTCCCGGGGGCGCGCGCTGCGGGGCGGGGTCCAAAGTGCCCAGGACAATCGGCTACACCGTATGTCACCGCGGCTCGTTGGGAAACGTCCGGATTTACCTACTTCTCCCGAATCTGAGCGGGGCAGGGAATTTTGAAGAGAAGGGCCGGGTGACGGGGAAGGGGGAGAGGGAACAGAAGAGAGCGTGGGAAAGAGGAAAAGGACAATGAGAAGCAGGCTGAATGGAGACGGGGGGGAGGATATCGACAAGGGTCATCACAATGATAAGGAAAGCACTAATCATGGACGAGGGTGAGGAAACAGGAAGCAGGCGAAGGCGACTGAAGGAACCGTCTGAGTCTCTCTCTCTCTGTCTCTCTCTTTGATTATGATCCCTCACCATACTGGCACATGATGTGCTTCTTGTGAGCATGCGGCAACGGCAGGCTTCGCATGATCAGGCGGCGCCGAAGGGCGAGATACTCGAGGAAGGAGGGGGAGGTGCAGGCCGAAGCACGAGGGCCACGACAACGACAACGACCATGACGGTGCCCGAGTCTCCCCGAATCCCGGGGCGGCGCGCACCCGGGGGGGGGGCTAACGCGAGGGGGGGGGGGGATCGGAGAAGGCGAAGAGCATCTCTCAGGAGGCAAGGGCCTTCCGAGAGGGCTTCCGAGAGGGCGTCTCAGAAGCCGGGAGGGCTTCCGAGAAGCCCCTTTTTTTCTGAGGTTGTTGATCGATTTCCTGCCCTGACACGTCGATTAGCGAATTGGCTGTTTTCGGTTCGCGAGAGGGCGTCGCGGCCATCATTTTTGCGGGTCCAGATCCGTCGGTTTCGGTCCATGGCCGTTTGCACCAAAGGGTGGTTTACTCAAGGGAGGCTTGTCCACCGCCGCCTTCTGCTTCCTCCGCGGCCTGGAGTCCTTGCAGGCCTCTCGTGAGGCTGTCTCCTCGCGCCGAGCTTTTGCGCACGCTGCCAAGAAGGGTGCGCTTTCTCCGACGGAGCGGATCGGCGGCGGCGTGCGGCTTGCGGCCTGCGGCCGCGGCGACAACCCCGCGGCTCGGGTTCGGGGAGCGCTGGCTGGCCGCCGCGGGGCCGTGCGTCGTCGGGAACACGAGGCCCAGTCCCGCTGCCAACGCCCAGCGAAGACCGGACCGCCCAAACTCACGACGGCCCGCCCCAGAACGTCGGCAACTCGTATGTTGTCCCAGCGTGCTTAATTCAGGGCCACGTCCCAGAAATAAGTTCGAGCACGCAGGGACAAAAAAAAACGAGGCAGTGTCGAATGAGAATCGCCTCCCAAGGCCCGACACGTGAAAACCCTCCAGTTTTGGTACGTTCCTGGTGCTCAAACTCTTTGTGGTGATGGAGGCTAAAGTAGGTTGGAACATCATAAGGCAAATCCGAATTCTGGCAACATCGACTCTTCCGTTTCCCCGACGAATGCCGCCCAGGGGAGGGTGGGGGGGCGCGATGACGCGTGCGCCTCTGTGGCGGGGCCCATCTGCGGCCGCCCCAGCGGCCCCTCGCACGCCTCCTCCGGAGCGGGGCGGGGAGGGGGGAGGGGAGCGTGTCAAGTCCCGCCACGCGACCAGACGCGCGGCCCCCCCTTTCCCCGTACCCTTCCCCTCCTCTCGCTCTCGTCGTCGTCGTCCTCCTCCTCCCCTTCCTCCCGCCCTGCTCGCCCCCCTCGCACCTGGATGCAACTAATCGATAAGGGCCTCGTGCCCAAATATTGACATGTCGTCTAAATCAAGTCCGAACAACGGCCCGGGTAGCGGTGAGATCATGTGGATTCGGTTCGCGATAAGTGCAGTCCAGTCCTCGCCCTCATCTTCATGCGCCTCCGCTTCCTCATCCTGTCCATCGGGCGTCGCTCAGGGGGGATATTAATGTGGGGGGAGGAAGGTGCCCTGCTCGGGCCCTAAAACAAGACCCCTTCGGGGTCCCGAAAAAGCTTCTTCAGGGCACACCCCAAAAGGCACCTTTTCTGCAGCCCTCGCTGCCCCCCACGGTCTGAGATACCAGGGCCCACTGGGGATGGGGGATAGGTTAGACGATGCTGACAAAAACAAGGCAGACCGGGCCACCCTCACTCTGACATCTACAGTGTTCCAACACTGACTCGAAAACTTTTCACATCCAGATACGTTGGAACACTCTAGCGATGGTCGAGGGTTGTGGGGCATAGCCGGTGCCCGGCGCATGCTTTCCTCCGCCCGCGGATTTGGAGGCGCGCTAATTCTCCTGAGTGTTGCAACCGCATATGCATGATGCCATATGCGGGGCAACTATAGATCCAAACGCTGCTCTTGGCGCGTGCTTCGTCGTCAGTGTTCTTGAAACCAAACGTAATAGTGCGATAACCATTCTGTCGTGAGAATTCGGCTTTCGGTCCACGTCTCCACGAATCCACGTGCAACACGCGCTGCTTCGCATAATGCGTGTACTTCCTCCACCATTAATGGCGCTCCACGTGGCCGCTACGACGTGCCCTAATTGCTCGAGAGTAGTTGGGTGGGAATGCAAACCAGCTGGACATGATGAATAATGATTGGCCGACATTGTGTCAACGCGCACCTGGCGCCACCATGTCTTTGTCCTTGAAGAGGCCGTGGTCTCCTTCCCGGGGCGCGCCAGGGGGCTTGGATTCAGGGTCGTCGGGGCGCGCGATCCACTTTTCCAACCCTTCCTCTCCCGCGTCTTCTGCGTAATGCCGTTGCCGCCAGAGACTGCGAAGATGCGTGTTCCCCCGCGACGTGTGTCGCCAAGGCCTCGTCGTCGATCTCGTTCGTTTGCTTCTCGAGCCCCGCTCCGTCATCAAATGTTTGGAGCCGAGGAAAACAAGCGAGAGGCGCGCGCTGGGTAGCTGGCGCGCCCCGGCGCCCCCGACTTCTTCTACCGCTGTAAACGACGCCAATGTGGCGGACACTTTGCCAGTTCATCCACGCGCGCGCGGTTGCCAAACTCATCGAGCGAGGCCGTTCAACGACCCGCCTTCGATGAAGGCATCGGGCGGCGGCGGGGAATTCACGTGGGCAGGGCGCGCGTTGATGAACTTCCAGACTGCCGCCGCGCTGGCAAGCGGGCCCGCTGCGCCCAGCGCCGCAAATGATCTGTCTGCCGCGCGCCCTTTGCCAATGAGATCGTTGATTTTGCCCCCCACTTCCTGGCGGCCCCGCCTCTGAGTTTCGTTTCCTGCGCTGTCCCATGAGAAAGGTCTGACAAAGAAGGCGCCGACGCTGCTTTGGGCGTGGGGACTTCTAGGGCCGACGCTCTGGGCGCGACGTCGCCCGCAACCGCCTTGGGGGGCGTCGGCGCCCAGGGGGTTCTTCTGGGATGCTCCGCGCCGTTTGATCGCGTTGATGTCCTTCTCAGTGGGCCCGGGCCCGTCGTTGAATATCTGTTTGGACAAGACAAGCCGGCGGTCGCGGCGGTTCCGGCATCCGCTATTCCACGGAGGTTCTGCTCGAATTGCTGCTGCAGCTTCCCTGGGTCGCCCTCGTCGCCTGCGCCGCTGGTCTCGTGGCGTGGGCTGCCGCTCGGCCCCGTGAGTCGTGCCGCTTTTTATATGCAGGGTGCTGATGTGGCGAGTCTCTGGCGCGCTGCCTTCCACCGTGGCAGAATGAGCGTAGCAAGACATGGCGGGGGGTCGCTGCGAGCATGGCGCGGACAAAAGTGGGGCGCGCAGGTCAGCGGAGCGCGACCTCGAGGTGCCCGCGCCCTGCCCCCCACCTGTGGGCCCTTGAGCCAAAGCGGCAACGGCGTGCAACGGTGCATGTGCTAGTCTGCGCGAACGCCACGCGCGCGCGCCTCTGCGTCGGCGGCTGGGCAGAGGTGACTGCTTCGGCGATCGGGCATCAGCGGGGCGCGCTAGATGCAAATTGGGCCGCAATGCGCGCGAGGGGAGGGGGAGGCCCCGGCGCGACGGGAAGAGAGGGGGCCGGGCCCGCTCAGGCAAGTCACCGGCTGCGGCGGCGGGGGCGCCGAGCCACGACGCACGCGCACCACGCACGAAACAGATGATGGATATGTAGAGCTGATTTGAAGCCGCCCCCGTGGGGAAATCGCAAACCGCGAACGCGTCGCGCGTCGCGCGCGCGCGTTGGGCCGCGCTCGAAAAGTCGCCGGGTCGTTCGGGCGCGCGATGGGCAAGGACGTGGCGAGTGCCTCCTCGATGCCCCGATAGTGTTGCTGTGCCGATCCAGGAGGTGTCCTGACTGGTGTCAATGGTGCCCCGATGATGTCTCGATTGATTTTCGATGGCGATCGAGGTGTTTCAACTTGATTTAGAAAGTGCCCCAATTTTATGTTTAATAGGTGCCGGGTGATGCTGCGATTCGCTTGGGAAGGTATCTCGGCCCCGATGGGCGAATCCATGGACTTGTTCGTTGGTGTTCCGAATGATTTTTGAGGGGGGCCCGACTCTGTAGTTTGAAACGGCGTTCCGACGGGCTTCGGGAGTGACTCAAGGGTGGTGTCTCGATGCATGCCCCACTGCGTCCAGGATGTCTCGATGGGTGCCCCGATTGATCTCTCGATGGTGCACGAGGCCAAAGCCCCCGCGACCCAGCCAACCCATGTGGGCGCCGCGAAGCTCGGGGGCGGCCAGGGGGGGGGCGTCCAAGAGGGGGGGGTTCAAGTCATGGCCGGCGGCGCGGGCGCGGCCCAGGGGGGGTGCCGGGGGCGCTTTGAAACAAGAAGAGGCGCCGTGCAATCTGGGGAGATATGATGGCCCTCGCCATGATACCCACCCCGCGCGATTCCCTCCTGGGTCGCAGGCGACCCGAGGAGGGGGACAAATAAGAATAACTCGTGGAGTCCTGCCGAGGGTACCTCGTGACTGGGAATTTGGGGAAAACCAGCCTCCAAAGAAACTGAACTCTGAATTGGGCCACTTCGAATCCACCCTGGCCGTCATCTCGCCAGCGCGCTCCGCGACGCGGCGCTGGCCCGCCCAGCGCCCTCCCCCCCCCCATGTCGGCGCGCAGCCAGGTGGGGGCGTGCCCCAGTGGCGCGGGGCGCCACCCGACGCCGAGACCCCTGCCGCGACCGCCCCGCCCGCGCCCTTTGCCTCTGCCCGTGGAGCCCGCATTCGGCCGAGGTGCAAATGTGAAAGAGGTCTCGAGGAGAGGGCCTGGCAGAGGAGCTGCAGCGCGCGTGAACTCCGCAGCGGTCCTCAAAACATCCTCGGACAGAACTCCCCTGGCTACTAATTCTCTAAAACGAATGCTACCTGACAGAATTTCTTCCCGAGCCCGAGACCCGGGCTGAATTTCGCGCAGGGCGCCTGACTGGGCAGCAGGACGGGGGCCTCACTTCCTACGCGCTCTCCTTCTTCCCCACCTCCGTGCCCGGCATCCTGTTCAAGTGGCCCCTCGGGGCCGCTCCTGGTATGAACTCGCCTTTCTCGAATATGATGCGCCTCTCCATGTGTTGCGCCAAAATGTTGCCGATCTGCTGGCCTCGCTGAAACTGCATGCTCAACAGCGCCTCCGGCGCGTCGTCTCCCGTGGCCTTCAGCGTCTTGCAGCGAAAGTAGGGAATGCATCGCGCCAACGTCGACATCTCTGCTTTGCGAAGGTGCTGCTGATAAAAACCTTCATCTCGTCGCGGACCACCACCCCGTCATTGCTCGACTGTTCCGAAAAAGGTCTTGCCCACTCCGTATAGGACCGCTGTCGTCGCCACATGCAAGTGAAGCGGGCCCCGTCCTTTGAAATCTGGATCCTTTCCTGGCGCGGCCACCTCCTTCATCTCCACCGACTGTTTGTTGTGCGCGACGCCTGCGTTTTTGCGCGCCTTCGGGGGCCCCTTCGTTGCGTCTTGGAGCGAGCGTGTCCTTCGCGTCGGCCGCTTTTCCTGCCAGGCTGAGTATGAGCCGCTTGTGCGCCGCGTCGCTCTTCTCGTTGTCGCCGCCCTTCAGCTTGGTCCCGTCGCCGCCGCCCATTCCGCCACCACGGTGATGCTTTTGCTCTGTGCCCTCTGCCTTGTCCTCGCCCCGGCGCTTGGCGCTCTTCTTGAACCAGGATGGGTCGCCGCGCCTTCCAGAGCAGAGTGACCCACGTCTGTATTTGGCATCAGAGAAGTAGGGGCGAGGCCGAAGAGGAAGGTGTAAACGTGTGTGGTCACAAAGGTTTTCCAAACTCGAGCCCTCGAAGTCACAGGCCAGGCAGCGACTTCCCTCAGCGACGACGGACCTACGGTGTCGCAGTGGCCTCTGAACATCGACCCCTCCAGGTGTTTCGAAGCACTCGCACGACAAGCGAAGACCTGACGACAATGAATACACACGCTTGTCGGCGTAAGTACTCGGTATAAATGTCGGATCCCATGAACTCTGCGGAGGTGTGTCATAAGATCGCGTCGATTCGTAAAACTCGCATCGCACATCTCGGTGTCGTGAGTCTCTGAGGAGAGCCAACATTTCCAAGGGAGAACTTGCGTCTCAGTCTCGATATGGGCCGACTGCTGTTGTAGCGATTGGGCCGCTGCTCCTCCAGGTTGGTCCGAAGGAGGCGGAATCGCCACCGTGAATTCCCGAGACCTGTAAGCGGCAACGTCGATAACAGAAAAGAGCGATGAGCTTGCCGCATCCAGCAAAAACCGAAAGTCATTGGCATTATCAAAAAACAGCTACTGATCAAGCGCCTCCGAGACGGCAAGCAAGTCGTTCCTGAGTTGAAAGAGCCAGGGTCATGCATACTGCGAGCCGAGGAGGAGGAGGAGGAGGAGGAGGAGGAGGAGGAGGAGGAGGAGGAGGAGGAGGAGGAGGAGGAATGGGCGGAATGGGCGGTGAGGCGGGCCAGCAGCGGCAGGCGCACGCAGCCCGAGGAGACGATTACTATACCAGGGGAGGAGCAGCAGCAGCAGCAGCAGCATCAGGAGCGGGCCCGAAGGGTCCGAGGTCGGCCTCGAACCTCTGGACCTCCTCGGTGCCTAGCTCCCGCGGGTCTGTATGCTGCTCACTCTCCCTGGGGTGCCTGCCCTGTCGCACGCGGTTCCTACGGGTCTTAGCATTCTTGTCTGCAGGTGTGAACTTACAGATTTCGGCCAGACCCCTCAACGTGAGCGACGAGAAACTTCCGCAATTATAACAGAACACAAACGGCCCTGTCTTCCAGAGTGCGTGGCCTCGGAACAGGTTCCTATTACCTGTGGAGGAGGAGGAGGAGGAGGAGGAGGAGGAGGAGGAGGAGGAGGAGGTCGGAGGAGGAGGGGGAACTTGGCCTCCTGGCCTCCTACAGACCGTGCGGCCCAGGCACTCTTGGAATCTGAATTTTGCGCGCTCCTTCCTCGCGGTGGCTTTGCGCCCACAACGGAGGCAGGAAACGGCAGGCCCTGAGAAACTAACCAGGAGGAGGATGAGGATGAGGATGAGGATGAGGATGAGGAGGAGGAGGAGGAGGAGGAGGAGGAGGAGGAGGAGGAGGAGGGGGGGGAGGGGGAGGAGGAGGAGATGAGGAGGAGGATGGAGAGAGGAGGAGGAGGAGGAGGAGGAGGAGGAGATGGAGGAGAGAGGAGGAGGAGGAGGGGGGAGGAGGAGGAGGAGGAGGAGGAGGAGGAGGAGGGGGAGGGAGGAGGACGGGTCGCCTAAGCCTTCGGAGAAACCCTCCAATCCCCCCCCCCCCTAGTGATCACTACCCTCTTGGCCGCCCCCGAGAAGCGGCCGCGGGCAGGAACCGGGCAAAGATCCGGAAAACAAAGCAGCCAGCACAAGAGGCGGCCACGGGCGCGCATCGGGCGCAGACCCAGACTGTGGACTCGGGACAGAAACGAGCACGTCCCCGTTTAGCGCGAGCACGATTTTGGGATCAAGAAATGCACCGACGATAATGCAGCCGCGATGATCACGAGAACGAGCATGACCATTGGAGTGTAAGTAGGCGGTCCAGGACACGAATGCGAATACAAGCGCATAAACACATTGGAGGGCATGCGGAACTGATGCGCACCCCGTCCCCCCAGCCCCAACCTTCAAATCAGATGCATTCTAGTCTGCTGGGTATTTCGGCATGCGGTCAGGCCCCCTCAACGCATATAATTCTGACGCGCCTGGCGGAACAGAGACTCAAACGGAAGGACACCCAGGGAAAGACGACTCCCTCTGTGCTGGATACCTGACAATTGAGGTGCATTCGTCTACAAGTTCGGGCCCAGGGACACACAAATAAATCCCACCAGCCCTCTGGGCGGAGGTGGTCTAGAGCGTTTCCGTTTCCAACCTCCCTGATATACCTCCCCCCCCCTCCTTGGGTCTGGACGGCGCCGGCCCGTGGGGTTAGAGGGTCCTTTTGGTCTAAGATGGCTCCAAGAGGGCCTCAGAGAGCGCAAGATGACCTCCAAGATGGCCCAAGATAGCTCAAGATGGCTCAAGATAGCCTCCGACACACATCCAAGAGGCTTCAAGGCTGCCCCAAGACGGATCCAAGTGCCTGTCGAGCCTTCAACGGCACCCTCCAAGATGCCAAAATCCTTCAAAAGCCTAGGGAAAATCAATGTTTCAGGCATTCTCGCCTTTTGTCCTTATAAATCTACACCCCCTCCCCCAGGCGACCGGGGGCCAACCAGGCACCATGCCGACACCATGATACCACCCGCCCCCCACCATCCCTGTCAGAAAACAAGACAAACCGCACTCTGCCTCCACATTTGGAGCATGCGCGGCCAACCCGTTGCGTCCCCCCCAACCATCCCTGTCAAAATCAATGCAAACTACACTTTGGGGCAAAGTCTTGAGTCATGTTCGTGAGGCCCGCGAACACTTCGTACTGTTTTTGACAAGGGCGGCGGGGGTGTCAGCATATTACCTGCTGTGCGCAGGGCTGCCACCCCTACAATACAACATGCACCTCGCGGCTAAGTCTGGATAGTGCGCGGCCCTCCCGCGATACCTGTCAAGTGGTTTTTGACAGGCACGGCGGGGGTGGTGGCGCGTGGTCTGCTGTGCGCAGGCCCACCAGACATAATTATGGGCATCGGTTTTCGACAAGGATGGCGGGGCAGACATGTTTCCCGATTTGTGCTTTCACGTGCGCAAGCGCACCTGACGCACTCTGCACGTGCCCCGAACGCGGCGCACCTGGCGCGGCTGGAGTGCGCGGCACACCTGGCGCACGTGGCGCATCTGGCGCACCTGGCACGCTCGGGCCCCAGGGGTACCTGGCGCGCGTGGCGCGCCTGGCACGCGTGGCGCACCTCGCCCAAACGTCGCGCACCTGGGGTCGGCCTTGGTTCTCAATAGCTGTCCATCCAAAGACAACCGCTGACCATGCTCAGACTCGGGTGTTACTTCTGTGTAGGGAGGGCGGATGGGAATGAGCTTGACGGCTTGCGGGCGGGTGGGTGTCTTGACCCCTCCCCCTACCCCCTCTCCTCCCCCTGGACCTGGACGGGGGGTTTTGCGACCGATTGGAGCTTTCAAAATGGCCTTTGCGAGAAGGCAAACATTGTTTTTACAATTAGGTCTTGGGCTCTTTTCGGCCTCTGAGGGGTGGGGTGGGTAGGGCCTTGTACGGGACCTCCCCTTATTTGATCGAACTCCTCCAAGATGGCCCCAAGATGGCTCTCAAAGGTGTCCCAAGAGGGCCCGAAGAGGCGCCGAAGAGGCGCCCAAGAGACCCCCAAGAGGCTCCCAAGATACCCATAAGAGGCTCTCAAACGACACCCAAGGCTCCCCCGAGGCACCCAAGACACTCTATGCTCTATGAGTCCCCGAGGACCGCCAAGAGTCCCCCAAGACGCTCCAACAGGACTCAGAGAAGCTATCAAGGGAGATCCGAAAAGACTCCGAAAGGCATTCAAGAGGCCTCTGGCCATTCTGCTCGCCCTTCTCCTCCTCCTCCTCCTCCTCTTCCACCTCCTCCTCCTCCTCGTCATCCTCCACGTTGATGTCAAAAAAATCCTCATCCGCCTATTCCTCCTCGTCCTTCCTCCGTCCCGCCTCTCCCCTTCCCCCTGCCCTTCCTCCTCCGATTCCTCCTCCATCCTCCCCCTCTTGGGGTATGACGGCTTCCCCAAACTCTGATTCCACTGCATGCACCTCCGCAGCCCTGATCGGGGCAACCCGCCTGGGTATCTTTTCTGGATGGGCTGGTGGGGGCGAAACGTCTAGAATTTCTCACGATGCAGTATTGCTTCGAAGTTCGCGACGTTGAATCTCTTGGGCGTTGCTTCATGGGGGCGAGGACGTACTGACCTGGGTCAATGCAAGCCTGGGTCAGTCAGGCTTTGCAAAATCCTGCGCGCCAGCCCGGGTCAATGCACTTCTGGCTCTGCAAGATCCTGCAAGATCCGGCGCTCTGGCTGACCCGCGTCTGCACTGACCCACGTCTCGTAGAGCCCGACCCATCACGCAACGCCCGACTCTGAGGGCCCCCGGTTTCCTCGGGCACCGTTGCGCCCCCCGCTGCCGCACTGGCCGCGCCAGAGGTGGGCGCGGGCGGCGCCGCGGCGGCGGCGCCCGCGGCGGCGTCGGCGGGGGCCATCCTGTGGCGGCTGCCCCGTTTTGTGCGGGGCCGCCCCCCCGCGCCCGGCTTGCCCGTCCGTCGTCCTCGTGCCCCCGCATGCCCTCCCCCTTCGAATGCCGATCGGTTGAGGGCACCGAGGACGGCCGTGTCTCTGCGACAACGGACATCTCTGCCGAACGATGTGCACTGTTGCGAGTGTTTGGCGCGAGTGCTCTGTCTGACCGACGCCGCAAGAAAGATATCGATCGTGCGTCAAGAATCTGCTTAGCCTCCCCCATCTCTTCACAACCTCCTCCCCCCGTTACTCCCCCCTCCCTATCCGCACTGCCCTCGAAGCGTGGTGCCATCTATGGTGGTGCTTTCTATGTTCTGCAACCTGTGTGATGCAGTATGTGTGTTCAAATGCGTACATACATGTATGGAGAGGGAGAGAGAGAGAGAAAGAGAGAGAGAAAGAGAACAAACAATACAAACAAACGAAAGAAAGAGAGAGAGAGAGAGATGTGTAGCACGATGTCATCATGTGTGCGTGTTCACAACTATGTGAATCCTACTTCTTTTCTAAGGAATTGGGACTGCCCGTCGGTATGGCGGCTATGTGGTCGCCGTCGCCGCCCCGTCGCCGACTCGTCGCCGCCCGTCTTCTGGGCCTGCCAGTCGGTCTGGCAGCTATGTGGTCGCCGTCGCCGCCCTGTCGCTTTGGGCCAGCCCGTCGCTCTGGCGGCTACGTGGTCATCGTCACCGCCCCGTCGCCGTCTGGGCCTGCGATACTTCGCATTGCTTTACGATACTTTGCATTGCACTCCATTGGCCTGCATTGCTCTCTTCGCGTTCTTTTGCACTGCTATATGATGAATTGCATTGCGTTGCATTGCGTTGCATTGTTCAGCATGTATTGCATATCATAGATTACACAACGTAAATCGCACACATATTGCATTGCATGCGTTGCGCACCACACACACTGCACCACGCAGATGGTACCACATATATGTCACAACCTATGTTGTACAACATAGCTTGACACAAAACTACACCACATACAGTACTGTCGGAAGGAAACTGTCCACGCCGTAGGCGCTTCTCGTCATCTGCCACCGTGTCAGACATTCTACTTCAGATCAGTGATCCACGCCAGAGGCGTCTCTCGTCATCCGCCACCGTACCGCACGTGCTTCTTCAGACAAGCGGTCCACGCTGGCCCACGTCTGGAGGGAGGAGGGAGGGGGGAGCCCCTCCTCGGGGCAAGAGGCGGGGGGTGGGGCGAAGCTAACACTGGAGATTATGGGGCAAGGGTGGATGCCGAGGAGGCGGTGGCGGAGGGGGAGAAGAATGCAAAAAAGGATGAGGAGGAACGGGAGGGTTCTGGAGGTTTCGGGAGGAGTGCGGAGGGGCATGGAGGAATGGGACAGGTGCGGAGATTTTGGGAGGAGTGCGGAAAGGTGCGGAGGAATGGGAGGGTTGCGAAAATGTTGGGAGGAGCGCGGAAGGATGGGGAGGAATGGGAGGGTTGCAGAGGTTTGCGGAATGCGGGGTGATGTGGAGGAATGAAGGTTGTGGAAGTTTCGGCAAGAGTGCGGAGGGTGTGTGGGAACGGGAGGATAGCGGAGCTTCTTGGCGGGGTGCGGAAGTGCGCGGATCTTTAGAACAGCGTGCGGAAAGGTGCGGAGGAACGGGAGGGTTGCGGAGCTTCGATGGGGAGTGCGGAACGGCGTGGAAGAGTGGGAAGGTTGCGGAGGTTTGGGGAGGAATGGGAAAGCTGTGGAGGAATGGGAATGGAGGAGGGATGGAGGGTGTGGAGGAATGGGAAAGCTGTAAAAGGTTTCGGCAAGAATGCGGAGGGTGTGGGGGAACGGGAAGGTTGCGGAGCTTCGAAAGGGGAACGCGGAAGTGCGCTGAGCTTCAGGGAAGCGTGCGGAACAATGTGGAAGAGTGGGAGGGTTGCGGAGCTTCGATGGGGAGTGCGGAAGGGCGTGGAAGAGTGGGAGTGTTGCAGAGGTTTGGGGAAGAGTGCGGAACGGTGTGAAGGAATGGGAAGGTTGCGGGGGTTTCGGGAGGAATGCTGAAGGGTGTGGAGGAATGGGGTGGTTGCGAAGGTTTCGGGAAGACTGCGGAGGACCATGGAGGAATGAGATGTTCACGGAAGTTTGGGAAACATGCGGAATTGTGTGGGGGGGGGATGGGAGGGTTGCGGAACTTGTTGGGAGAATGCAGAGAGGTGTGGAGGAACGGGAGGGTTGCGACGATGTTGGGACGAGTGCGGCGGGGTGGGTGAGAATGTGGAAGCTGCGGAAGTCGTGGCCCGAATGCGGAAAGGTGTGGAAGGAATGGGAAGGTTGGGGACATGTTGGGGGGAGTCTGGATGGGGTGCAGAAGAGTGGGAAGAGAGATGGTAACCCCATGCCCACGATAATAATGTACCCCCCCCCCCCTAAGTCGTTAGAGTTTTTATCGTCGGCCAATATGAGTTTGGTCGGGGGCGCGGGGGCGCGGAGGCCGAACTTCATTATCACTGGGAAAGTTCGCCATCGAGGTTACCTTTTTCTTATGTTGGGATAACAACATCTAGGGCAGCGAACACGTGTGCTCTTTCTCTCTTTTTCTTTGTGTTGCTTTATGTTTCCCTCTCTCTCTCTCTCTGTCTCTCTCCCTCTGTCTTTCTTTCTCCTCCTCCCTCTGGCGCCCTGAACTTGTTTACCGCTGGGGTTGATTACCCGGGGAAAACTAAGCACATGAGCTACCCTACACGAGCAGATGAAAATGTTAATTTTCATTAAGCGTTTACACATTAAATCTAATACGTTTTCAACTTTGGATTTTTGCTTCTACCTCCTGCTCTGCTTCTCCTGCTCTTCCTCCTTCTCAAACTTCTCCTCTTCCCTTTCTTCTTTCTTTATATTTCTATTTCTATTTATTTTTCTTCTTGTCTCCCTGGCCCCCTGAACTTGTTTATCGCTGGGGTTGATTATCCTGGGAAAACTAAGCGCATGAGCTACCCCTACACGAGCAGATGACATTTTAATTTTCATTAAGCGTTTACAAATTAAATATACAAAGTTTTGAACTTTGGATGTTTGCTTCCTCGTTCTTCTCTCCTCCTCTTGCTCTTTCTCCTCCTTCTCATCCTCATTCTCATCCTCTTCCTCCTCTACCTCCTCTTCCTCTTCTTTTCTTTTTGATGAGGAGGATGTCTCAAGCGAAACAAGCAATTCGTTGAGGATGTCTCAACCGAGACAAATCATTGTTGAGGATGTCTCATAGAGGACCAAAGACCAAGGATCCTCAAGATATCTTTGGCTTTTTCCTCTTGATATCTCTTTATGCTGGCTATGGCGGGCAACTTTTATTATCCCCCCGAAAACCCAGAACTTTATTATCCCTTAGGGTCTATTATCGGGGGCATGGGGTTACTGAAGGTTTGTGGGGACATGCGGGAGGATGCGAAGAACGTGAAGGTAGCGGAGTGTCGAGGGGGTTCGGAGGGGAGCGGAGGAACGGGAGGGTAGCAGAGGTGTTGGGGGGAGGGGGGGAGGAGCAATGCAGTATACGTGCCAATGCGCGGCAAAAAGTGGTGCAACATGTTGCCGATGTACAATATGTTGCGCCACGCGCATACTCCACATGCATTCTCCTCTCTAAAACAGAAAAGGATCTACCCCCCCCCCCCGCGTTAGCACTCCCCCTTTCGGATATGTAAATCATGTATGATTATGACCACATGTCCATCCTAAATATGAATTTACACTATCCCAGGGGGGCCGGGTTCCCCCCCCCCTGAGGGTCCCTTGTACAAAAACACTTTGCGGTGACATTTTTTGTTCTAACATAGCACTGTTTCACGAATCCCTGGCAACAAATGAGACGAAATACACACGCGCGCGTCGTCGCGCGCGCATGCCGAAATCCTTCAAAAACATTCGGTGCTGGAGAGGTTTCGCAATCGAATTTCCAAACAACATACAAAAAAACACAAAGTTTCGCAACACTGATTTGCTAAACAAGCTTCCGCGCGAGCTCTTGCGAAATCTTAAGAAAACCATGAGTTTTTTCCAGATTTTCACAACATGCTATTAAACGGGCTTCGCGCGCGCGCATGTCGAAATCTGTCGAACGCCCTTGCGCGTGTGCCGTCGCGAGAATCCTCTGCAAAAAAATGGGACGAAGTGCAGACGCGCGCGTCGTCGCGCGCGTATTCCGAAAACCTTCAAAATCCATCGGTTTCGGAAGGATTACACAATCGTGTGTCCAAGAGACTTACAAAAGCACAAGGTTTCGCAACACGGATTTTCAACAGAAGCGTGCGCGCGCGCTCTTGCGTCGTCGTCGTCGTCGTCGTCGTCGTCGCCGTCCTCCCTCCTCCCGCGTCGTCGTCGTCGTCGTCGCCTACGTCGCCCTCTGTCTTTCCTCGTGTTCTTCGTCGTCGTCCTCTTTGGCGTCGTGGTCGTTTCCGTCGTCGTTGTTGCCGTGGTCGTCCTTCCTCCTCCTCCCTCGTCGTCGTCGTCGTCCGTCGTCGGCGTCTCGTCGTCGTCCCTCCTATTTCGTCGCCGTCGTCGTCGTCGCCGTTGTCGTCGTCGTCTTCCCTCCTCCCTCGTCGTTGTCGTCGTCGGCGCCGCCGTCCTTCCTCCATCTTCGTCGTTCGCGTCGTCGCCCTCCTCCCTCCTCCCTCGTCGTTGTCGTCGTTGTCGCCGTCGTCGTCCTTCCTCCTCCCTCGTCGTCGTCTTTGTTGGCGACGTCGTCGTCGTCTTCGTCGTCGTCGGCGTCGTTGTCGTCGTCGAAGTCGTGGGAGACGTCGTCGGTGTCGTCGTAGTCGCCGTCGTCGTCGTCGTCGTCGTCGTCGCTGGCGTCGTTGACGTCGTCGTCGTCGTCGTCGTCGTCGGTGTCGTCGTTGTCGTCGTCGAAGTTGTTGGAGACGTCGTCGGTGTCGTCGTAGTCGGTGTCGGCGGCGCCGTCGTCGTCGTTGTCGCTGTCGTCGTCGGTGTCGTGGCCAAGTGTCATGTGGTACGTACCGTCACGGTCTTGTCTTAAGAGGTCTTGCGACCAAATTGTGGGTGGGAGGGTGGGATGTTTGCACGAGCAGTGGAGAGGACAGCTTCAAGACGGTCAAAGATTAATTGCACCACATAGACTGCACCATGCCTGTCTACATAACAGTGCATCAAACATACTGCACGGTGTGTATTGTTCCACATAGCTTGCAGAACATGTTTTGCTAGAAAACACATGTTGGGGCTCACGCTGGCTGATCCACATACGTAAATCAACTCGAACCACGCGCGCACTTCGCGCGCGCTCAGGTTCTAGCACGCCTCAGCCTTCGACAACATAACAACCGTACATGTGCACGAATCGAAATTGTGGATTGAGCATGAGTTGCAACAACAATGACATTGACACGCCGGAAGGACTGGAGAGGGAAGCCTCACCACAAGCCCCTCCCACTTACCTACTCCTCCTGTTCCTCATCTTTCCTCCTCACTCCTCCCTCCTTTCCATCCCTCTTTCCTCCAGCCCCCATCCTGACCCGTCCATCGCCTTCACTGAGTTCTCCTTCTTTACCTTCCTTCTCCCATCCTCCCTCCTCCCGCTTCCACACATCCTGGCCTCTCCTCCCCCTGCCCTCCTCTCCCTGGCTCCTGCATCCCCCCCGCCTCCCTCGTGCTGGCGGCGTTGGACCATACTGGACGATCGCACGGCGCTCTTGGCGCTCAGGGTGCGCTCTCATGGCTCGTTTGGCCTCTCTTTGGGGCTGCCCGTGGGGGTCCTGAGGTCGTCAGAGGGGCGTCGTGGGGCGGTCTTCGGGGCCAGCTGGGGCTCTCCTGGGCCGTCTGGAAAGTTCTGAGAACTGATTAAGGCTTGAACAGACGTGCCATCGTCAGCGCTAAGAGTTCTGGAACTATACTATCGCAAGAAAGGCCTTCAAAGGCGGGGTGGTGTTGACGACTTCCAGTTATGCCAGATGGATAGCACCACGTATATTCCACCGCATTGTTTACATCTGCACAGCATTGCTTGCACCAAACGGCTTTCACAGTGTAGCTCGCAATGTGCTGCTTGCACCACATATTTTGCAACACGCTGCTTGCACCACTTAGCTCGCAGGACATTGTTTACACATCCAGTGCAATGACTTACTGTTTGTTTGGGGTCCACGCTGGTAAACAATGGACAACCAACATGTCTGTTAACCTGTGTTTGAACTCCCCTTTGTTGAAACGAATTTGAAAACCATGGTATTGAGACGCGCGCGTGAGGCCCTCAAACTTATCATTAGACAGACTTGGCGCGCGCGCGATGGTTGTGTAACGTTTTCGACATGTGCGCGTGTGGTCTGCATGCCATGATTTGGCACAAAGGCTTACAGCAATGATTATCCTGTGATGTCAGTCAGTGAGTTGGACTGCGCAGAACTCTGACAATTGGTCTTGAATAACCAATGCTGTTCGAGAGTTCTTAAATGCAGCTGTCTTGACATGGTTCGACAGATTTACCTCGACATGCCCGCGCGGCGGCGCACGCATGCGACCCGTATAGCGTTTCTGTGCAGGGTAACGTATATATATATATATACACACACGTTACGTAATTCACGAATGCGCACTGCACTACACGATTTTGTTCGGATTTGTGGTCATTTCATGGGGGGCGATACATGGGGGCGGTGAGAAAGGTGCCCTTTTCGGGCCCTGCAGGCCCCCTCTGGGGCCCCTGAGGGCCCCTTCAGGGGCCCGAAAGGGCTCCTCTTCAACAGCCCTCGCTGCCCCCCCCCTGTCTTGCCCCCCCACTAGTTCGCGCCCTAGGGTGGCGGGGGGGATGGGTACCCAGACTGACGCATGGTGTTATCTGACACCTCAGGTGAGCGATCCTGCAGAGCAGGTGAGGACAAAGACGCGGAGGGGAACGGATGCGTCCTGCCTCGGCAAGGGGGTATGCTGTGACTCGGGAAGACAGAATCGAAGCGCCAGCCAACGTACGAGGAGACCACGGGCAGGCCCCAGAGGAAAAACCAGGCCCACCCAGCGCATATTTGAGCAGGGACCGACCGTCCCAGCATTCTTATAGGCCTACCACGAGGTGTTCTTAGAACCAAGACATGTTCTAATAACAAAAACAATGTCCTTAGAACAAAAGCCCGATGTGTTAAAACAAGACAATCCCAGCCAACAATGTTCTGAGAACATTTCCTGCAGACCACAAAAGGTTCTTAGAACATTCTTTGATGGGCCATAGGCGAGCCAGGACGCTTCGCCACTGCTTGAAAGCCAGCCAGGCGGCCGTCGGCCTCAGATCCGGCGCAGCGAAGAGAACTGCAACGTCATGAAGAATCACGACCAGAGCTGCAGACCCTATCTTCCTGCACCATCTTTCGAGCCAGGACGCTTCGCCACTGCTTGACACATGGCGCCCACCAGGCGAGCACGGCGGGGCACGCAGCGATACCCCGGCCTTTCTGGCCAGCCAGCACGGGGTGCACACGGGGCGCCCAAGGCTCGGCACACGGCGAAGCCCTGGCGCGCCCACCAAACGACTCAAGAATCCAAGCACGAAGCCCTCAGGAGGCGGAGGAGGAGGAGAAAGAGGAGGAGGAGGAGGAGGAGGAGGAGGAGGAGGAGGAAGTGGACGAGGAAGAGGAGGAGGAGGAGGAGGAGGAGGAGGAGGAGGAGGAGGAGGAGGAGGAGTTAGGAGTTAGGAGGTGCTTGGTCAAAGGGGACACCTTTTCGTCGAAACGCAATTTGACCGCTCACCCCACAGTTGGGAACTGCAGCTTAGCCAATGGCGTGGCAACATCGCTCTACTGAGAGAGAAGACCATATCCGATCCGCGTCAAAGGCCATCGGAAAACAGCATACATGTGACTCTCTCGGGGATGGGCAGAACCCCCTTTAGTAAAACGTGGTTCAGTGACAGCCTTGTTGCCTGGGCAGTATGGGTCGCAGCTCAGCTGCACGAAGCACCTCACGATGTCCTCCTCCTCCTCCTCTCTCCACCTCCTCCCTCCTCCTCCCTTCCTCTCCCTCCTCCTCCCCTCCTCCTCCTCCTCCCTCCTCCCTCCTCCCTCTCCTCCTCCCCCCTTCTCCCTCCTCCCTCCTCCCTCCTCCCTCCTCCCTCCTCCCTCCTCCCTCCTCCTCCTCCTCCTCACGACGTTTCCAGGCCGGCTCGCAAACCTCTCGGCGCCTCTGGCGAAATCTGCCCTGGATTGGGGCGACCAACAACCGCACCGCTCCTGCTCCGAGGCCTTCTCAGAAGAAGCCGGGGCTGTTCGGAAGCCCCCCGGCCTTCTGACAAGCTTTCTGGGTCTTCCGAGAACTCCTCCTCCTCCTCCTCCTCCTCTCCTCCTCCTCCTCTCCCTCCTCCTCTTCCTCCTCCTCCTCCTCCTCCTCCTCCTCCTCCTCCTCTCCTCCTCCTCCTCCTCCTCCTCGGGGGCTTACAACACTTCTCAGAAGGCCCGAGGCCCTCCGAGCCTTCTGAGAAGGCCCGCCCCGTCTCGCTTCCCCCCAGAACAGATGGGAAACCCGTGTCCAGCGCGCACCACACCGACACCAAACACCTGATCTTGCGGGCGTGCAGCCCGCGACAAAGCAGCCACTCGTGAGCGCGGCGGCCTCTGACAGTGCACCGCTCCGCAGGGAAGAACACCAGTCCTCCTCGGGTTATGTTGCTCCCATCGTACTTACGGACCACATCACAGAAATGATTTCGAGCACCCAGAACAAGTATCGAAACAGTGTCGAACGAGTATCGCCTCCCAGGGCCCGACACGCGAAAAACCTTTAGTTTCGGTACTTTCCTGGTGCTCGAAACTCTTTCTGGCGGTCGAGGCTGAAATAATCCTAGGGCGGGTTCGTGTCGTGACAACCCCAGTGTTGGCTTCTGACGCCGCGTCAGCCGCTCAACCTCGGACGCTGGGCGGCTCTTCGATCGCCGGATCGCTCCATATTAACAGATGCCGGGCCGCCAGCGTCATGTCGGGCGTGTCCCCCTACGGGGGATTCTGGAGGAAACGCTACAAATAGCCAAAAACAATGCAAAAAAGAATCGAAAGTAGTCGAAAAATCGTCCCCATATCATTTCTGGACCATTCTTGAATTCTCCTCCTGTAGAGGGACACGCCCGACATGACGCCAGCGGCGCTCAACCTTGCACGCCTGCGCTGGGGTCGCCGCCGCATCGGCACGACACGAACCCGTCATAGCCTTCCTTATCTTCCTCCTCCTGGCCATCGCTCGGACGTCCATTCCGTGTTTTTTTCGCTTTCGTGCGTGGTTTTTTCGCCAAATGATCAAGGATGCTCCTCGATAGTCCTCGCCGAAGGAAAAATGCTCACGTCCGAGCGATGCCAAGCACCAGAACTCCCTGGAGAGGTCCGAGACGTCCAGGGCCGAAGACCTCCCCGCCGCACCTCTTCCGGGGAGCTCCCTCTGCCGGGGAGCCTCCGGGGCTCCCCGGGATGACGAGAGGGGGCTCAGACGTCCACGGTCCTCGATCCTTGAAGCCAGAGAATCAAGGATCTCGGGCGTTCAGGGCGTCCAGAATCCTCGATCCTCACCCCCCTCCATCAGCAAGAGGGTGTCCCCCAGCAGCTGAGGAGCAGCTGCATCTGGCCCTCGAGGCTTGCCTGGGCGTCCTCAATGGGAAGGAGGGGTCGGAATGGGCAGAAGGATGGCCGTCACCGTCTCCTTCGATATATCGATCGAGGATTCGTTAAGGCTTGACCATGCAATGTATGCCGTTGAATATGTAAATAGTTCGTATTTCGCGTTGCCAGAGCATGCGACTAGCATGTATCCATATAGTTTTTCTCAAAGTAATTAAGCAGGTTCATCATCTGCGTGGCTCCGAACGAGCATGAACACGTCATCTGCAAACCGGAGGTTGGTCAGAGGACCCTCAGCTTGGCTCTGCTGCGAGGTGTTCGACACTGTCTTCAACGTTCGGACACACAGCTCCATTGCGGCAACACGAAATCGCGCACCATCTGGAAATCAGTGCGCTATCCCTCAGGGTATGCAAACTCTCCTCGACTCTGCTCCTGAGCGCTACGGCCGCAACCTGGCCACGGCAAAACAACTCAAGCGCCCTCCAGCATCTCAGAGCCGCGCAGCCACGGACCGCGCGGTGCGCTCCCTGGGATCCTGGAGCTCGCACGGCCTCTCACGGGAGCGTTCTGGGATCCCCACGTGAATACTTCGCATCCCGCGCGACTGCACGGTTTCCCCCAGGACCGTAGGCGACCCGAGGAAGAGGAGAAGGAGGAGGAGGAGGAGGAGGAGGAGGAGGAGGAGGAGGGGGATGGGGGGGGGAGGGAGGAGGAGGAGGAAGAGGGAGTAGGAGGAGGAGGAGGAAGAGGAGGAGGAGAGGGGGAGGGAGGAGGAGGAGGGAGGAGGGAGGAGGAGGAGGAGGAGGAGGAGGAGGAGAAGGAGGAGGAGGAGAAGGAGGAGGAGGAGGAGGACAGGTCGCCTAAGCCCTTCGGAGAAACCCTCCATGCGCGACCGGGTACTCAGCTCCGCCAGTGCCAACTCCTGGGGAAACCCGGGCGCGCGCAGGCACGACTGCTACTCGGGGGGAACGCAAGGGGGGGATAGTAAAGGGCAGGGTAGAGAATCAGCTCACGTAGCTGATTTTCCCAGCGCCTCCTGGCGCAGAGAGGCGCCCATGTGACGAGGAATGGGCCCGGCGGCGGGGCCGAAACCAGCTGCATGCAGTAGATTTCGTACCCCCCCCATTCCCTTTCCCCCCCTTCGTTCGGCCCGATAATACCATAGCCCCGGCAGTTGCGGATAAGAGTGAGGGATTGCTGGGGTCGTTGGCAGTCTGCGAGGCTCTGAAGAAGCCCGCCGCAGGCACCTGCTTACAGATTTTATTTATAACGAGCCCAACGCAGGCGCCGAGTCATCGTCAACACAATGTGTGGGCCGCTGTCGGGTCGCAAATGGGTCGCGGGGCGCGTCGCGGGTGGGTCGCGAAACGGGTCGCCGGTGGGACGACGACAACAGAGAACAAGCAAAATCCGCGCTGCGGAACTCCACTTCAGCCACGCACCCAGGGACGGGGGGACTCGAAATATGCGCCCTGTAGTCTGGTCGGCTGGAGACGCTTGGTGCATAGACGCCCCACCCTGACAGGCTGTGGGACACTGGGGCGTCTACGCACCGAGCTCCTCCTCCTCCTCCTCCTCCTCCTCCTCCTCCTCCTCCTCCTCCTCCTCCTCGTCCTCCTCCTTCATCTCCCCCACCTCCTCCATCTCCCCCACCTCCTCCTCCTCCTCCTCCTCCTCCGCCTCCTCCTCCTCCTCCTCCTCCTCCTCCTCCTCCTCCTCCTCCTCCTCCTCTGCCTCCTTCGGCGTCTCACTGTTTGAGCTCCCTGGCCCCGTGGCCGGCCACGCGACGTGGTGTATACGCCGAGCCCCTCCGACCCCCCCCCCTGGGCCGACGGGGCACGCCAAGAGGGAGGCTGGTTCAGGGGGGGAACATCGGCCTGGACTCGGCGATGCGTCGTCCATAGATCGGCGACAGGCCCCCGACTGCGCCTCCGCGCGCTCTTGGGCGAGCTGGGATATCCAGGCCCCCTCGGCGGTCCATGGGCGGCTGGGGGTCAGTGTATCCCCTCCTTTCCTTGCCCTCCCCCCGCTGACGTCGCCCCTGGTCCTCACAACTTGCGCCCCATGCGGCCACTCGGGACGATCTGGGCACCCCTGGACCGCCCTCGGCGAGGCGCGACTGCTGGAGAACATCCCAAGGCTGGGGAACCGCCGAATACCGAGGAGAACGCTGAAAAACCTCGAAGCTCGAACCCCCTCTGGGCCCATCCCCCCTGACACTGCACCTGAGGCGTGCGCACCCGCACACACCACCCACATCCTTGTTCCTTATTAGAATATACCCCCACCCACGTCGAATTCCGGCCGATAGCGACCCAATCCAGAACCTCCCATCCGGACTGCAAAACATGAATACAAAGTTGTTGTTTTTCTTCTCAACATCGTCTTTCTTGTCGTCGGCGATGCGAAAAGCGTGGCAGGAATGGGACGCGGCGCGCATCGCGCGCGGCAGTCAATCTGGGCCCGCCCATCCTGAGTATAAAAAATCAATACAAAATCTTCGCTGTTTCCTCTCAGCATGCCCTGCCTTGTCGCCGACGGTGCGGAATATGTGGCAGCAGTGGGACGCGGCGCACATATGGGACGCGGCGCACATCGCGCGCGCGGCCATCAATCCGGGCCCGCCCATCTTGACAAAATCTCCGTTTTTTCCTCTCAGATGGCCTCCCCTGTCGCCGACGGTGCGAAATATGTGGCAGGAACGGGACGCGGCGCGCATCGCGCGCGGACGTCCATGCGGGCTGCGGGCCCTCCCATCCTGATTGTAAAAAACAATACCGACTTGCCAATTTTCCTTTCATCATGGCCTGTCTTGTCGTCGACGATGCAAAATGCGTGGCAGGAGGGGCCACCTTACTTGTCAGAAGCAATGCCATGCTGATTTTCCCTGCCCACATAGCTGTTCTTGTCGTCCACCCCGCAAAAGTGCATGGCAAGAATTGAGCGCGGCACGCCCCCCTCCCCCCCCGCTCGAAGTGAATGAAATGACCTTCCCGCTCGGGCGCCGAGCGACATTTCCTCAAAGTTGCGCTCCCGCTTTGGTTCGGCGCGCGTTTCTAGCTCGCCAATTCATTGGGCGCCGGGGCGTTGCAGGAGGCCCTGGGGTGACGAATGCCTGGGAGGTTTTTGCTTGTTCAGGCTCTTGGAGGGCCTCGAGAGGCTCCCCGCGGTTTCTTGGCGGCGTCTTCGGCCGTTTGGAGGCCATCTTGGGCGTCTTGGTACGATCTTTCGGCGACTCAAGGCCGCTCGGATCGTCTCGGGGGCGTCTCGGCTCTCTTGGGGCGTTCTTGGGGCGCTCTGGGACCTGGAAGTCAGCGCCGAAGAAGAAAACCATCGTTGGGACCGACGCGCCCAGGACCTGCTCGGGGTTGTTTTCGTCCGGGGGCCCCTACGGGCCGCCCCGCGCGCGCAAAGTATAAGATTGTTAACTAATTACCCGAAATCTTAGCACGCTTCTGGCCCGTGGGGATGGCCTGGGACCTGCGCGTATGGGGCGCGGCGCACATCGCGCGCGGGGAACGTCTAGCCGCCCACGGTAAAGATAAACCACGGGCGTCGGACGCGACGCGCTTGCTTCTTATGTTGTGGGAGGGCGGGTGGGAGTGGACGGAGCCCTCTCGCTCGTTCGACCTGGCTAACTTGACCCACACCCACACCCACACCCACCCACGCCTACCCCCCCCACACGCCCATCCTTGTTCCTTATTAGAATATACCCCCACCTGCGTCGCATTCCGGCCGATAGCGACCCAATCCGGGACCTCCCATCTGGACTGTAAAAAATCAATACAAAGTGGCCGTTGTTCTTCTCAACGTCGTCTTTCTTCTCGTCGACGATGCGAAAAGCGTGGCAGGAATGGGACGCGGCGCACATCGCGCGCGGCAGTCCATCTGGGCCCGCCCATCCTGACTATGAAAAATCAATACAAAGTCTTCGCTGTTTCCTCTCAGCATGCCCTGCCTTGTCGCCGACGGTGCGAAATATGTGGCAGGAATGGGACGCGGCGCGCATCGCGCGCGGCCGTCAATCCAGGCCCGCCCATCCTGACCGTAAAAAATCAATAAGAAATCTCCGGTTTTTTCCTCTCAGCATGGCCTGCCTTGTCGCTGACGGTGCGAAATATGTAGCAGGAATGGGACGCGGCGCGCATCACGCGCGGACGTCCATGCGGGCTGCGGGCCCTCCCATCCTGACTGAAAAAAATGCAGAATTGCCGTTTTTCCTTTCATCATGGCCTGTCTTGTCGTCGACGATGCGAAATGCGTGGCAGGAAATGGGGCGCGGCGCACATCGCGCGCGGACTTCTGGGGTAACCCCAAGACGGGAGGGGCCACCTTACTTGTCAGAAGCAATGCCAGGCTGCTTTTCGCTTGCCCACATAGCTGTCCTTGTCGTCCACCCCGCAAAAGTGCATGGCAAGAATTGGGCGCGGCCCCCCCCCCCGCTCGAAGTGAATGACATGACCTTCTCGCTTGGGCGCCGAACGGAATTTCCTCAAAGTTGCGCTCCCGCTTTGGCTCGGCGCACGTTTCTAGCTCGCCAATTCATTGGGCGCCGGGGCGTTCCAGGAGGCCCTGGGGTGACGAATGCCTAGGAGGTTTTTGCTTGTCTACTGCTACTACTGCTACTACTGCTACTACTACTACTACTACTACTACTACTACTACTACTACTACTACTACTACTACTACTACT